TATAATAACACTATAACTCTTATTATGTCTTAATTGGCTTAAATTCCTACACTCCCTTTCTACTACTTCTAATCATTAAAAATAAGCCCACATCAAATAATAGTATTATTCTAATATTATTCTACAACTTAATCGAATAAATTAATTCAAATAACCACAACACAACATTTATCATCATAACACAACTTCACAAATAATCCAAAAATAATTTAATAAAATGATTAATTAAATTACGGGCGTTACACTAAGCGGCCTCAACGCACTAAGCGAGTTGCACGATATTTACACATTAAACCGCCTAAAACTGCACTATCCGCTCTATCCACGCTAAGCGCGCTATCCGTGCTAATTGGGCTTCAAAGCTTTGGTTCTGCCAAAATAATAGAACGCAAGCAGCGCGCTACAAAATGCAATGAGCACCACTCGCGCTTAGCGGTCTCTGTGCGCTAAGCGGGCTCTCCTAGATAGAATGTCCCAAAACTGATCTTTTATTCTGACACCTTATTCCTCAATGTTCCAAAATGTAATAAATACCTACAAAATAAATGGAAAAACATCACACAATACACTATGTACACAAAAACACAAATAAACACAAACTAAATGTATTTACACAAAAGTCGGATTTATTCAACGATATTAACAACAAAAAGTCGATAAGTGCAACAAAAAATATTTTATACAAAAATAACTAAAATTTTCACTTATCAAACTTTCCCTAACTTGAACTTGTTTGTCCCCAAACAAGGCCAGACAACTCAAAGAACCAAAAGTAATAAACCAAAGAATCATGAATCAACAAATTTTGAAAACGGAAAACAAATGCAATGGCTCAAATGGAAAACGGTACACACGAAGAAACATGCTTACCACTAAACTACGACGATAACATAAACATGAAACGAATGCTAAATACAAAAATTATGCCAAACATTCTAAAACAATACTAGTTCACAAATGAATCGCACCTAGCAAACACAATCATCGGTAGATGAAAAACACACAAAAATGGGGTATTTTCACTCATCCAACAATCTCGCAAATAATAGACTAAATTATGCATTCATCCAAAAATTTACATTAAAAATATAAAAGCAAGTATCTCAAGGGTTTTTTAAGGCTGTAGCGTGGTCAGATGAACAAACAAGGGATAAGTCCTAAAGCTAATCGAAATGAAAACTTGCCTAAACCTAAGGAAGTGATCAATTCACCAAAGGTTCAAACAATAGAATTTCAATAAAAAATATTCTTTATCCCAAGTGTTACACCAAACACACATCACTTATTAACACAATATTATTCCATACTCTTTTTGTTTTTTCTTTTCAAAAGTTTTTTTTTCAATTTTTTCTTTCTTTTTCACTTTCTTTTTTTTTATTTTTATTTTCTTTCTTTTCAACCTCATAGAAATCAACCAATAAATACACAATCATTATTCTCCCCAACTTGAATTCAACCATCATTAAAGTGAATACTCCCTAGACAAGCATTTAGCAGAATAACATGAATATCGACAAAAAGCTCAAAGGGGTTACTAATGATCACACACTCACAAGGTGAATTGCCTATTTGGCCAAGGTAGTTGTGCTCAAAATGGAACAAAAAAAATGTCTTGATCATGTTCAAGCTTTCATACAATCAACACAAACAAAAGATTAAACATAATAAAATCCAGTTAAAACAAGAATTGTGGTCTCCAGCATTTGTGAACAATGGAAAATTATCTCACAAAAAGAGTAAGAACTAAAGTGATTCACAAATGAACAAGTATACAAAAGAATGAATGACATAAAAATTATAAGAAGTCTAAGTATCATGAATATGGTAAGTATATAAAGAGCTAAACACATACATCGAACATCGCAAGTTGACACACTCAAAATTGGAAAATCACCAAATGCGACTTCAAGCTATCAGGTCAAAATTGAGTCCAAACAACAAAAGAAAGAATTAAAATATTAATATTATTTACTACTACAAGGCCTAGGTGGAAGTGGGAAAAGGAAAAACCAAACGAAAAATTAAAAAGAGTTCATTGGTTCTGCACAGCATAGCGCGCTTAGCGCACTATACCAGTTGCAGAAAAATAGGACAGCAGCTGGTGCAGCTGCTATGCAAGCTCCATAATCACCTTACACACTCAATGTACAGAATATTCACAACATATAAACTTTCTCAAGCTACACACGACAATGTTGCGGAAAAACACAAATTGACATAACAAAACTAAAGGGAGAAAATGAATTAAACAAGTTGAAAAGTGAAAATTTGAGAACTTAAAACAAGTCTTATTTCAACTTGTTAAAACACAAGTTGACACATACATAAACGAATACAAACAAAAACACTCTTGTTTTACATTATAGGCTTGACACCTTTATTGTGCGAGCTAGTAACCTCCTCTCGTCGTGCCATGGTATTATCACACCGCGTAAACCTAAAGAAAGTGTCCTAACATCCACACAACAAACATTACGAAAACGAGAAAATTTACAACAATACGTGAAAACAAAGAAAAAACACATATATGCACAAGTATCATATACAAGTTAATGTACAATTTCTATACAACATATACATTAATTACAAAACTAAAAAACAAAAGAATTATCGCAATGTAAAAACAATAGAACCAATCCCCGGCAACGACGCCGTTTTGTTGCTGCTGTAGTGCAGAAAGAAAAAAGTAAAATATTATTTTTACCGGGTGATATATGTTATATCGTATCGTGTCCACAAAGATTGGTTATTGAATTGTCGTTCGATAATTTCTCACGTTTATGAGTTTGGGAAAAGAACGGGTTTAAAAGAAAATGTTATCAACAAAAAATAAATGTATAAAAAGGAAAAAAGAATAACTTATCAAGCATGCATATATACTACTTCTCACAGACTTAAACCTATCGACCTGTTATACTCAACCTATAATATTCATCAATGTCACTATGTATCACTCACAATCTAAGTCATTTCTAACCCAAATCGAGAGACCTACTGCATGACCTCGGTAGTAATCTCTCAACCACCTCAACAACACAGAAGTCAATCGTGCTCGCTTGCGTCAACGATCTTTCAGAGCGACACAAAAAACACAGAGGCATTAAGCGCTGATACCTAAGTAGATGTCAGCTCTAAATCTATCTCTAGAATTAAGAAACTAACAGATAACCATCCTAGATAAGAATCTAAGTAATATATGTATATAACAACTCAAATCCCTAACACATAGTAAAAATTCAGGACAACAATCCATAAATATTCGTAAAACAAGTTTAATATAACGCCAAGGGCGACAAATATACTTGAGTTCAAAGAAATTCATACAAACCCAACCATTAGAGAATACACAAAGAAAAAGAGAAATAAACTACAGATCTACCGGTTTGTCAGTGTCGATCGAAGAGCAATTCACCCTGAATCATCCGTATGCAAGCTCCATATTTGTTATCTAAGCTAATCCTAACAAAATTTACAAGTTGATGGAGTTGGGACTAAAAACTTCCCCAAAACCATAATCTAAAAATGACTGAAAATGAAGTTATAAAACAAATCTCAGAAGACCGCGCTAAGTAGCCTCAGCGCGTTAAGCGGGCTGCGCGATATTTACATATCAAACCGCCTAAAACCGCGCTAAGCGCGCTATCCGCGCTAAGCGAACTTCAAAACTTTGGTTCTGCCAAAACAGTAGAACGCAAGCAGGGCGCTACAAAATGCGTTGAGCGCCACTCGCGCTTAGCGGCCTCTGCGCGCTAAGTGGGCTCTCTTAGACAAAATATCTCAAAACTGATCTTTTATTCCGAAAACGCGCATCCGGAGTCCTGCCTTCGACACCTTATTCCTTAATGCTCTAAAATACAACAAATACCTACAAAATAAATGAAAAAAATCAAACGATACACTATGTACACAAAAACACAAACTAAACGTATTTATACAAAAGCCGAGTTTATTCAACAATATTAACAACAAAAAGTCGATAAGTGCAACAAAAAATATATACAAAAATAACTACAATTTACACTTATCACGTTGCTCCTGCTGAAATATTTGCAAAAAACTTTCTTCCAGCTATGAATGTACTATCAAGTTGTGGAGCCAACATCCTTGCATCCCTGACATTGAAAAACCGCACAAAACCTTATTTGTTACCTCTTTTATCCCTTATCGCAGGAATAAATACCTCATCAATGTCCTCTAAATCCTTGAATAGAAAGCCCATAACGAAGAAAGTAGTAGTTAAATCTCCAACATTATTCCTTCGCCAAGTTTCAGCATCCTCTCTACGAATTTATCATTTATTTAGTGAAACAATTGCGTACGCATATTTCAACTTGTTGCTCTATTAAATATATCATGCTTGGCATAAGTTATGTTTTTTAATTCGTCAAACTCAGAACTTTACTTAGATGAATTTGTATAATATAAAGATATTACAAGTTAAAAAACGTGGACTTGACAATTTCTGCTTCCAATTATGATTGCTTTATTTGTTATTTTATATCATTTATTTTTTAATTTTTATTATAAATATATGTATATTTAATAAATGAAAGAGATTTAGATAATTATTTTAAAAATGTTTTAAAGTGAAAATTTGGTAATCATGGCTATCATGAGCATAAAATAAATATTTTCAAAATAAAAGATTTAGTATAGATAATTAATTTCTTAATTTATTGTGATTAATTTTTAAATTATTTTACTATTAACTTAGCTAAAAATAATAATTTTAATTTTTGTCAATCATCCACCTAGAAAGTTTTCATGAAGCAGGAAACCAATTAGGTGTTGTAGACATTTACTATATAAATAATAATAATGCCAAAAATGAGAATTTTATTTCATATACTAATTTTATTATAACCTTACAAAAGCATCTACATCAACTACATTTGAAATTGTTGAATCCTCATGCTCTTCACTTTTTTTTCTTCTTAATTTTAAATTTATTAAATAAACAATATTAAAAGGGTAATAACAATATCTCCATAATCTTTCTCTCAAGCAGTGACTGATGTTAACTTTCCAGGGTATGCAACTTCTGATTTTATGTCATTTTCCCATAATTCAGACACAGCTTCCTTTAGATTGTGAATACTTTCCAATGCATAATCTGCACCTTTAACTCTTTGTGATGTACCAACCTAAAATATTAATAAAACCATAATGAGTGAGTTGTGACACATTAAAAATGTATAGTACAATAATAGTTGCTAGAATCAAAACAAAAATATTTCTAACTACTTACCAACACTGTGTCAAGACCCACACGTTTTCCAGCTTGTATGTTACGGACACTGTCCTCAAAGAACAACTGAAAATGACATATAAAACCATAGAAAAAATTAGCAACAAAAAAAAATCAAATAAAAATATAATAAATTTTTAGTCATAATAACACACGTTTGTTAAATTAGAACCGTCGAATCAAGATCAAATTATTCATATTTTTATCAATTTTTAACATGAATTATTCAATTTTTATTTAATAGATCCTCTTGATTGTAATGACTATATGATATTTCAACTGTTAGATAAAACTCAAATAGTATATTTTCACATCGATAAAAATTAGGTTTTAAAAAAATAATTATTTTGTAGGCGGTTTTGAAAACAATTTTGAATGAGTTATAAATTTTTTATCTTATGATTCTAATTGACCTTGAACATTTTAAGTGAAAATAATTTTATGCGATTATGCAATTTTACTTACGGTTCTTTGAGGGTTAAGGTTGGCGATCTTGAGAGCGAATTCGATGGCGGCTTCGGATGGTTTGCAAACAATTGGTGTCTTTGGCAAGACAAGTACATTGGGATTAGGTTTAGCAAAATGGTCTATGATGTCAAAGATTTGAATGTTGTTGCTTGCACTATTATCACTAGTGCTTGTTGAACCTACAAACTCAATGTCATCTTCATCATCTGAGATAATGCTTTCGTGGATTGGATTAAGTGTTTCAAAACATATAATTCCTTCAAAACAATCTTCTAATCCAAGTCTACTTAGTGCCTTAACAGCATGAACTTTGTCTGCATTTGTGAAGATCTATACAACAAAAAAAAAAGGTTAAATACAATTAATAAAGGCTCTTTTTTTTTGTGTTTATGCCAAAATGAAAATCACTTTTTAAAAAGCTTACAAGTTTCCTATAGGGAAGGCTCAACAATAGATTCCTCAGAATTGGGTCTGGTTTTAAGTTCTCATAAGGTAATCTTCCATGAACAAAGCTACAAAAAATAATTAAAAAATATCAATTTTACTATTTCATAATAAAAAGTATTGAAATTTGAAAATGAAGGGTAATAGTAAAATGAAAAGTACCTATGATATTCATCATAGTCAAAGTCATAACCAATTGCCTGAAATGAAAATGAAATAAAAAACCATTATATTTATAATCAATTCTTTTCACAATTTAACAATAATGAAGCATATTTTATTGGAAATGATTATTGATTGATTAGGAAAAATAAAAAATTAAAATCATACCCTTAAACCAGACATAGTTGTTCCATAGTTCTTGTAAAGTAGGTTTGACAAGTCATCAATTTTGCTTGAGTCAATTCCAAGCTTCTCAACCATATAATCTATAAATTCAATAATACAACAACTCATTTTAATAATTAAAATTTTAAAAAATAACACATATTTCAAATTCAAATTCAAGACGTGTTTGATGTCTAACTCACTGAAATGACACAGAAATATACATATATCTATATATCACTGTTAGAATCGTGTCTGATTATCTATATATGATCGTGTATGTGTTAAAGTAACTTACCTTTAATATTTTGAAGACAAGATTTTGCAAGGCCAGATCTAAGAGGATATAAAGTATCATCTAAATCTGCATAACATTAATTTTCATAGTTGTAACTTTGTAACAAAACATGAAAAATTTAAATTTGGAACTTGAAAATTTGTTCTAATTATTACAAGCCTTACCAAAAAGAAGACAATCATATTTTGGTCTCTGAGCTTGTTGTCCGAATCGATCCTCGTACGCCATTTCGATAAAAAAAATCCTTAAACATAAAAACATTAAACAAAGTGAAAACAATGTTTTGAACAACTTGAACACACAAAAGTTGTTTTTGAACATAAGATGCTATAATTGATTCAGAAAGGGACTAATCCAAATCATTTAGGATAAGGCTTTGTGAAGTTTGTGAGTGGACAAAACATAAATAAACTTGTGTAAGGTTCAAAATAACTTTTCAATTATAAAAATTAAAAGCCACATGAAATGAATGAGTCATAATAAAAAGAAAAGCAATAATATAATATTTGAAACAGAGTTCATGTGACAAAGAAAACCACTTTCCAAAGTAAACAAACTTTTGAAAGATGAATTGATTGTTTAACAAACATTAGAGATTGAACTTCTAAGTTCTAACACTTTACAACAATGTATAATTTTTTAGCCTCAAAACCATAATCATAGTACTAATCATAGGTTAATGTCATTTATGTTTTTTTAAGAGATTATTATGAAAGAACAAGTTAAGCTATTAGCTTACCAAAAGGGAGAAAATGAATAATTGATGAAGTGTATGAAAGAAGCAAAGGTTTGAAGAGAATTGGTAAGGTATTGTATTGAAGGAAGAGAGAGAGGAAGAAGAGGGGGAGGAAATATGAGGTGCAAATGTGTGTTTATATAGAGAAAGAGTTGCTTGTGTGGTAGGGTATTTTTGAATATTATATTTGTATTATTAATTAAGTTGATTAGTTACGTTTTGAGTTGTAATGCAATCACCAATTGAACTCGTACAATGATTATTATGAAGTTTAGTACTCAAAGAAAATGACAACTAATATATGATTGAGTAATAAAAATGGATTCCTGGCCGTCAAAAGTGACCGAAGAATCAATCTTGTCCGTCGAAAAAATTAGAAGAATTAAATGTTTTTTTTTTGTTTCAAGTAAATTAATTGATTTTTTTTCTTTCAATTATTCAGATTTACATGAGTGTCTTATTGATATTTTTCTGAATTATTTGATTGCATTAATTTAGAATTTTATGATAGTAAAAAATTCAAACTAGGAAAAAGTTGTTATTTTGATAAGTTAGACATCAACACCTGAATTTGAATTCCAATTTTTATTATTGAGTTTTAATAATTATAACTACTTCATTTACTGATAAAAAATGACTTTTGAAACTTAACCAACAATATTTGAAAAATGAGTTTAATGAATATGTATAGACAATGCAAAAGAATTTTTATATCGTTATTTAAAAAAATATATTATTCTATTCTGTTATTTAAGTAATTTAAATTATTTGATATTAATTGATAAGATACATGATCCTAATTGATTTAGAGTATAACATTAATTTACACTATCAATGTATCATTTATTTTATTTAAATTTTTTTTATCAACTATATCAAACTTTAACAACTTGTTTTCAATTTATGATGCATATTTATTTTTTATATTTATTTTTCAAAAAATTTAACTCCAAAACCTACACATATCAACCCTAAAAAAATACATAACTCTGAGTTTAAATCTAACCCTAATATGTTAAATGTATATATAGATTTTTATCACTTTCAATTATATATATATATATATATATATATATATATATATATATATATATATATATATATATATATATATATATATATATATATATATATATATATATATATATATATATATATATATAAAAGAAAAAAAACAAATTTCATTCTTCCCAAAGTAAAATTATACGTAAATTATATTTAATTTATTTTTTTTCTCATCTTTTTTATAATCAACAATCAATTAGAATTATTTTTACATGTTTCTATGTATTTTTTCAATAAAAATCATAAATTAAATTATTATATTTTTTAGTTTTTTTAATAAATATATTTATATTTTTTTCTCTTATATTTTGAGACGGAAGAAATATATATATATATATATATATATATATATATATATATATATATATATATATATATATATATATATATATATATATATATATATATATATATATATATATATATATATATATATATATATATATATATATATATATATATATATAAAAGAAATAAAACTTTAAAAAAAAAAAGAAAATGCCAGCTGCATGAAGCACCAAACTAGAGGTGTAAGCTTTTGCCAGCTGCCACAGTACACAAAAACAACAATATTGTTTCCCATTTTTTGGGTTAAAAAATTAGATATTATAGATTCTCATTTTTCCTAACCATGTGCACATTTTAAACATGATTAAACTTAGGAAACAAGCTAATCAAGATCGTTAATATCTGATCTCATGTGTATGTATCTCCTTTAATCTTAATTTACACTACATTTTTTATTGATAAGATTTTAAATTAAAGAAGGTGCACACGTTCATTTTGGATAAGAGAGACATAATTAGTGGTACATTATACAAGTCCAAATCACAATTAGTGTAAATCAAATGTCTAATCTGATTTAACAAGCCTTATATAATTAGGATTGGTTTAGTGGTGAAAACATTGAGTTAGATATACACTATCAACCCTTGTTGACAAGTTGCACAATGAGACACTAGTTAATATCAAACTAAATTAATTACAACATTTTAATTGACAAATAATGTTTTTGGTAATGAAAATATCTATTCCATTTGAGACCCATCAAGTTGCACAATTAATTTTTTTAATGCCTAGTGTTTTTAAGTTTTAATAAATTTTTAGTTTTTCTATTTTTATATTAAATTAAATGTGTCAAAAATATTTTGCATTGTTAATTAATTGATATAGCTATCAAATCATCAAAATGTGTGATTTTTATCTTTCAACTATTTTTAAAGTTATGCTAGAATAGTTTGATAGTTTCATTGTTGCCTTATAGTTTGAGAGCAAAATTAAACTATAACCTAAACATGCAAAATCCTCAAATTATATTTTACATTTCTATTTATTACTAAACATGCAAATTTTATTAAAATAAAAAATTAATTATTAGACTTTTTATCATTACTATTATTCCTAAAAACTCCATAAGTGCCGTAAGAGTGAAAATCTTGTGTTAATAGTAAGACAAAATGACCACGACTCCCTCATGCTTCCATTTAACCACACATAAATTTGTTGGAAATCCATTAAGATGTACACTTGGCTTAAGATCTTGGATTTGTTCTCAACAAGTATGCCACATCACCATTGTTCATGCATGATGAGTCTATCTCTTTCAATTCCTATTCATTTTCCATTTATTATTTGATAGGAAATTAAGAGAAATTTACACATTATTTACAAACATTCACAAATTCTTTTTTAATATGCTTTTTCGTCATGAATCTTGCACTCTAAATTTATTTTGGTTTCGTAACTTTAAAAGAATATATTAGTCTTTTCACTAAACAAACTAAAAAACATTCATTTTTTCTCTAAAGCTTTTAGTATGTATTTGGATTAACGATCAACATAATTGATTTTAGTATAATTGAATTTGATAAAATTGATTTTAATAGAATTGAGTTTAATATAATTGATTTATATTTAAATATATTTATATAAAAGTAAATTAAATAATAAATTTTAATGTAAAAATCATCCATAATTAATTATGAAGAGAGAAATTATAAATTAGAAGTGTTTGTGGATCGATTTGATTCGATTTTGAGAGAATTTAATATTTAAACCAACGAAATAAAAATGAATTGATTTGAATTGAATTTCTATATTTTTGTAATAAAGCTCAAACCAAACCGATCCAATAGATAATGAATTAGTTTGAATTGAATTGATCCGATATATTAAAAATAGATATATAATTTTTTTAAAATTATTTATTTACACACCAAATATTTATTTGCAATCAATGTTAACTCCATCATTGACTTTTGATAATCTAAATAATGCCTTTAATTTTGATAATAATAATCGCCGACTGTCGTTATATTTTTATTGGAAAATATATAAATTATTCGTTTTTCTTTTTCATTATTGTTGGTACATACATTCATGATACTAATTAGTAATTTGGTTTGGTACTAAGACTCTTCATTCTTTTTTTTTGTTTTTTCAATTTAGTATTAATATTAATATTCACTTAAATAGTAACTTATAACTCAATAAAAATTAATAATTTAATATATAAATTAACTATATTGATTTTTATTGGTTTGTGTTGGGCTTACGGGTAGTAAATTAGAAATTTGTTGTCCGAATCAATTAACATTAATTTTTATTGGTTTGATTTTTGATTTTTGCCTGAACTAGAAAAATGCCCAACTCAAACACATTGATTTGATTTGGACTCCGGCTTGATTCGGAATTACTCGAACTAATAAACACCCCTACTACAAATTCTAGTTTCAAGTATAATCAATTCTGGAGGCAGAAACAATTCTACTTTAACATAATCAAACATGATAAAATCATTACAAAATCAATTATGCACTCTAAAATTACTTTTACATCTTCTTGAATTGAAACCAAATATACACTAACGCGTTGTGTTAAAGTAGATTCTCATACAAGTTCTACATCGAGTTATGTGAAGAAAGCGTTAATTTGAATTTATTCACCACAACAATTCTAATCTTTTTGATGTATAGAGAGAGTTTACAATTTTTCTGTACAAAAATTATGGTTGAAACGGTTTTCTATTTTTCTATCGAAAAATAGTTACTAAGATCATTTAAAATTTTCCGTCCAAAAATTTCAAGTAATAAATTTTTTATTGTATGCTTATTTTATTTTATTTTGTATTCAATTTGAAGATTTACTCTGGTTACATTCTGTGATACGGTGGGAGAACTGACTTGGGTGTTTTGCGATTTATCGCAAATGTTGCGGTTAGCAAGGGTCGCCATCGACTTTTCTTTTATCTAAAAGGAATGGCTGAAAAGAACAGGAAAGACCTTTGAGATTATTTCTGAGTTCGGGGGTATATTATGAAAAGGGAAGGTATTAGCATCTTTTCCATCCGTAGTTATCTACGGGCTCTTAGTTGCTTGCTAGATCACTTACTTTGTTTGAAAAATGTGTTTTGTGTGGTTTTTGAAAGTATTTTGAAAAGGCGTCATCGTTTAGGAAAACTTTCTAATAGTTCTCGTTCGTAAGAACATATACAAAGTGTTGATGTTTTGAAAATGTTTCAAGTTTGGAAAGTGTTTGGAAAGTGTTTTGAAAGTGATTTTGAAATTGTTGGTGTTTGTTTTGAAAATAAGCAAGAGTGTTTGATTTAAAATTGAGCAAGCAACTAGGAACAATCTACCTACTCAAAAGTCTTAGTTCATTTCTTCCTTTCCTTTGATATTGCTATCTTACCATTGATTTGGTAAGAAGCCCTATCTTTGGATGTAGAGGGACGGGCGTGGGTCATCGTATAGCCATGATAGTAATATTGTGAAATATCTTAGTAATTCTCTTTGAGGGACTAAGATCATTTTGAAAGGCAACTTTGATAGCGTCATCGAGGGACTATGATCTTGTATTTTTTGATTTCTTTTTGCTAATATACCCCACATGCATAACATGGCCATTTTTTGTAAGGCAACAAGTGGAATTACCCTAAGGGTGTATGTTTGCAAAATGTGTTTGATTGCATGTATTTTGTCTTTGATTTTTGAGTTGTCTACTTGTTGGTTTTATCTTGCCATACACACCTAATTACTAGCATTTGTACAAAAGCAATAAAAATAATGCAAGAAATAAAACCTACACTATTACAACCATATTGAATTGCATGGAAATATAAAGACAAAAATAAAATAAATGCAAGAAAAATGGACCCTTCGATTTGGGTTGAAACACCCTTCGATTCTGCTTTTGTTGGCCTCCTTCGATTGGGGCTGGCATTAGCAAGATCATGGCCTTCGATTGAGAGTTGGTACTAGTCAAGTCATGGCCTTCGATTAGGCTTGGCAGTCAACAGGGCGCACCTTCTGGTTCTGCCTTTCTACCGTGTTGTCTTCTTCGATTGAGGCTGACAATAGCAAGTCATGGCCTTCGATTCTGGATGGACTTAGTGCAAATGTGCCTTCTGGTTCTGCCTTCTCTGCCTTGTTGCCTTCTTCGATTGGGCCAGTAAAATCAGTGTGAGTGTGCCTCTAGTTGGGCCTGGAAGTCAATGTGGAAGCCAAAGGCTTCGTTTCATACTCTTGTCTCATGTTTCTTTCATTTGAACTTTTAAATGGCAACATGGCCTAAGGCCATGCTAGTATTTGTCTTGCAAACAATTTAATACTTAAAGCATGTTTAGGTAAACAAGAAGCAAACAAAAGGATTAGTTCTGAAAATGTATTAAGAGGGTGGAAACGAAAAGAACAAAGTATTATATACATGTTTCAAACGAAAGGGAAAGTTACTCACATGCTATGCCATGAAAAAAAGGTTCAAGGGTAAGAGCAACTTACCTTACTGCAGCTTTGAATATGAACTAGACCTTGAGTAGTGGCCCTGGGTTCTCCTGAATTCGAAGGGAGGAGCCTGAAACTTGGCCTTGGAGACTGGATTTGAAGGAAGAAATAAAGCAAGTGTGATGCTTCTTTCCACACTGGATTCGAAGGATACTGAAGAGTGGAGAGTTCTTTAGAATCGAAGGAGGTGAGTGTGATTCTGGGTTTGTTCTTCACAAGTGTTTAATGACTTGATAGTTTTTTGTTGTGTTTGAGAAAGTTTGGAGATTCGTTCCTTTGGTCCAAAGATCCTCTTCAACCTTTGCAAAGAATTCCTCTATTTATGGAGGAAGAATGGACATGTTGTCCAAAGGCAGTCTTGCAAAGAATAATAAAATATATGTAACATGAAAGTACAAGTGGGGGGCCTGTTGGCTGGAGATTAGACTTGTGCTTCTGGCCATGCTTTTCGTTCGGACAAAATTCAGGTTAGAAGCTACTTTTGTGATAAAAGTACTCTTTATGAAAAGAAAGGGTATGTAGCCTTTTGCTATTTTAACCAAGAATAGTATTATCCAAAAGACAAAGTTTAAAACCTTTGTACAAGCCTCTGATTATATAAAGATTTGGAAGCAAAGTAGCCTGGAAAGTAGGGTAAGGTTATGAGATTTCCTCATATTTTCTTCAAACGAAAACTGCTTCGAATGGCTCAGCTTGGATTCGAAGCAAGGTGATTCGAAGGGGATCCACATTCCAATTGAAGCTTTGCATGTAGGTACTTTTTTTCCAATCGAAGGCTTGCCTTCCCATGGTCATATGTGGCCAAACGAAAGAATGTACGTGGGCTGTCCTTGTCTTGTGACTGGTTAGCATGAGGGAAGTTAAATGCCCAAATGAAAGGTTTGACCTTGTGCTGAAGGATTCATGCCCTAACGAAACAAGCATGCAGGAAGCAAACTTGTCCAATCGAAGCAAGCATGCAGACAACATACTTGTCCAATCGAATCAAGCATGCAGACAACAAACTTGTCCAATCGAAGCAAGCATGCAGACATCATACTTATCCAATCGAAGCAAGCATGCAGACAGTATATGCCCAATCGAAGCAGGCTTGCAGGCAGCTAAACTTGTCCAAATGAAGTAGGCTTGCAGGCAGTTATTTTTTAGCAATCGAAAGAGGTGCAAACTCCAGTCGAAGGGTGCTGAATTGAAGGAGGTGTAAAGTCCAATCGAAGGGGGCTGAATCGAAGGAGGCCTATTTTTCTCCAAATTTGTCAAAATGTTATTTTTATCTGTTTTCTCCCTTTTTGTACAGTTTCCTTTTAATTTTGATACTGGAAAATCCCAATGCACTTGTGCAAGCTTAAATCCTGAGAATCTTTGTGAGAAAATCTTTGAGAATTGAGAGGACAAATTTTGGGGTACAACAGCTGTCCCTGTTCAATCTTCTTACACCTGAAGAGTTAGATTTGGAAAATCTGCCACTCGTGACTTGAAGGTGGAAGATAATTGAATACTAGAGTGCCTAGAAATTTGCACTTGATGATGTTGTGGTTGATTGTGTAGGGAATGGGCTTAAAGATGCCATTTGGAGAAATGATGGATAGTTGTTGGAGACGGGCTTATAGATGCCATCCAAAGGTGACTGTTGACAGAAATTAGACTAAGTCTAAATTCTGACTTCAACTGGGGAAGAATCAGAATAAATCTTTGGAGCAATTTATCTGAACTAGAGGAAATGTCTACTAGAAAGAATCAGGATAAACCATTGAGATTTAAGTTTAACCAGCAGAGGTCTTGGATGAGTATCGGAATAATATTCATAAATGAATTGTATCTAACTCGTATCTGAGAGATGTACTAAATGAGCGTCAGAATGACATCTGTATCTGGATCGTATCTGGACTGTATTTGAATGAGTGACAGAATGACATCTGAATCGGGATCGTATTTGGACTGTATTTGAATGAGTGACAAAATGACATCCGAATCTGGATCGTATCTGGACTGTATTTGAATGAGTGACAGAATGACATCCGAATCTGGATCGTATCTAGATTGTATTTGAATGAGTGATAGAATGACATCCGAATATGGATCGTATATGGACTATATTTGAAGGAATCTGGAGTAAGTATCAAAATGTCAGCCATATCTGGATCGCATCTGAACTGTTTCTAGAAGGAATCTGGAATAAGTATCAGAATGTCAGCCATATCTGGATCGCATTTGAACTGTTTCTAGAAGAGAATCTGGAGTAAGTATGAGAATGTCATCCATATCTGGATCGCATCTGAACTGTTTCTAGAAGATAATCTGGAGTAAGTATCAGAATGTCATCCATATCTGGATCGCATCTACACTATTTCTAGAAGAGAATCTGGAGTAAGTATCAGAATGCCAGCCATATCTGGATCGCATCTGAACTATTTCTAGAGGAGGTCTTTGGTCGCTTGTCATTAACTGGAAGAAAATAAATCTAACCAGAGGAGGTCTTTGGTCGCCTTCCATTAACTAGAAGAAATAAATCTAACCAGAGGAGGTCTTTGGTCGCCTGTCATAACTGAAATAAAATAAATCTAACCAGAGGAGGTCTTTGGTTGCCTGTCATTAACTGGAAG